TTTTGTATCTTTTGCCTCTACTAAATTCAGGAGAAACCTGACCAAGAACTTAAGACTTAACACTCACTCTCAGATAAAAATAAAAAAACTGTTAAAGATCTGCAAAAGTGAATTTCAGTGTAATTTTGCATCTTCACAGCTGTGATTCTGTCTCTACACACACAAAGTAAGTCCTGAATATTAACTTTCCAGTCTTAATCTTACCTCTTTATAAGCTTTAGCCCAAGCATCTGCCAGCTGGTTGATGTCTACTTTTCCTGATTTCACTGCTTCCAGAGCCACTTCAGCTTCTCTATCATAATCTTTGATAGTTTCCTCTTCTATGAACTTGTTAAGAGATTGCTTCAGGTCTATATAACAAGAAGAGAATGGTCCATCAAGAGAACCTGTCAGTGGAAGTATCAGTAACCAACTAGGAAACACATCTATAAAGTTATTCTGAAAACCTTTTCTTTGGGCACCTTATTAGCACCAACAATAACTTTCTTTGATGTTTGGCTGTTTAAAAGACCAATTTTTTTTTTAACACTGTTCTAGTAAAATACCCTTCCTTTGGTTTCTCAAAGCAAGCTGCAAGACACTTGTGGACCAGGATACATGACAGTAATTGATTCATACCATTTTCTATGAAGCATGGCAGGTTGTGCAGGACCATCAGACGTCCATGCAAGTGGCTGATATTCTCTTGCACAGGGAATTTGAGAGGCACAGTGAGCACTAAATGCTGATTTCCAGCAGTGAATTCATACACAAAGTCTCTCTCCCTAGTGCAAGTCTTCCCTTTATTAGGCTTCATCTTCTTGACCTGGTTTCCTGCCTTGGAAACGAAAACAACAAGAATTATTATTATGTTTTTGTAAAGTCTTAACTTAAAACATGGTTCTGCTAATAATTAACAGTTTCTAGCTTTCACAGATGCTCATCACAATTTCAACTTCCAAATATATACATCTGGAACTGAGGCACAAATGCTAGTTTCTAAAACACCAAATGCTTCTAGAGTGTAATTAAGTGCATCAATACATGAATTTGGGTCATTATACTTAAAATTACAGCATAAGTCTCCTGACTTAAATGCAGAAGAATAAGAGAGCTGCCTACAGAATGAAAATACAGGATGGGAGCACATACCTGTGACAGCAATTTTACCTTCCACTTGGGCTCTGTTCATTCACATTCCTCCTTTCTGAACATTCCCTGCAAAAGTGGACACATTGCTTCAGCTGAAACCTCCTCAGGGCTGAAAACAACCATCCAATGAGACAAAAAAACAACAACAACAACAAAAAAAAAAACCAACAAAAAAACACCCACAAGAAAAAGTTATATTTTCTACAACAGAATTCATGGGATCAATTTTTAGGGTTTGAGGGCTTTTGTTTTTGTTTTTTTCTTTTTCCTGTGAATGTGTTGGAAACAGGTTCACAAGCCAGTTACAAACACAAACATCAGCCCAGAAAGCCAATTGAATTCTGGGCTGCATCCAAAGGAGTGTGGGCAGCAGGTCAGAGGAGGTGATTTGCCCCCTCTACTCTGCTCTGGTGAAATCTCACCTGGAATACTGCACACAGTTCTGGTGTCCTCAGCACAAGAAGGACATGGAACTGTTGGAGCAAGGCCAGAGGAGACCATGAAATTGATAAGAGGACTGGAGCATCTCCCCTATGAGGACAGGCTGAGGGAGTTGGGGCTGTTCAGCCTGGAGAAGGTTGTGTGGAGAGCTCAAAGCAACTTTTCAGTATCTGAAGGGACTACAGGGGAGCCAGAGAGGGACTCCTGGTTAGGAGGACAAGGGGGGTTCAAATTGAAGGACGGGAAATTTAGGCTAGATACTAGGAAGATTTTTCTCCCGGGCACAGGTTGCCCAGGGAGGCT